CCTGTGCAACTCTAAGGGTCCTACCCTGTCTCCCTCTGCCTAGCCATTGGCCACTTGTATCTTTATTAATCGATCAAAAACAAAATTGGGGACAAGGACCATTAACATTTGGACACACAGATTCCCGATTGATGGGGAAATGGGGACTGTCATTGCTGAGTAGGGCCTAAATAGCAGCCTGGAGCTTGTACAGACTGGAACACACTGTGCATCACCAAGATCACCCAGGTTCTGAGCAACAACAGGATGTCCAAGACAAAGAACGGTTCATTTTTCTGGACTGGACCTCCTCAAAAGATCTCTATGGTCCATGCTGCCCCTGGAGGCCACTTTGGTGTTAGTGGTCTACTTGCCCAGACCATATTGAAGCCTGAGGTGGAGGCCTACAGCAGCCAGGGCTGTTCTGATGTCCATGGTCCGAGTTAACCGGAAGCCCATGTAAATATCCATGGTCTGTGCCTTTGCAGGAGGAATGACAGCTAGCTTTATAATTTATGGACAGGCATGACTCATGAGGACTCCGTGTCCTGAGAACATCATGCTGTTATGAAGTTTTGCTCTGCTTGTTGCCCTCACATCCCTCTTAATCTAAGAATTATATGGGAACTCTAAGGGGGACTTCTAGCTCCTCACTGGACAGTATCTCTGGCACTCACAAAAATAATGTTTGACCTCTTTCAAGCATTGCTGCTGGAGCAGACTAATGGTTCAATCATCACCCTAGAGAAGAACTTAGAGATACAGGTTTTCAGCTACGACCACCACCCTTAGAAAAATATTTAGAAAAGTAAAATTGTTAATGAAGCAAAGTTAGGATTTTGTTTTGTTTTTGTTTTTCGAGACAGGGCTTCTCTGTGTAGCCCTGGCTGTCCTGGAACTCACTCTGTAGACCAGACTGGCCTCGAACTCAGAAATCCACCTGCCTCTGCCTCAGTGCTGGGATTAAAGGCATGCAAGAATAGGGCCTTTTTAAGGCCAGGGAACAACAATGGCAGCACTGGCTGACGTGACTCTCACGGAGGCTGGATTGGTGATGATTGATTTCTTATACCCATTTTCCCCTCAGCTTCCTGATACGATTTAATAAGAATTGCTGATGAGTAGATGTGCATTCTGAGGATTTAACATAGATATGATTTTTTTAATTCACTTATACTCCAATTGCTGCCCGCTTGCTGGCCCTCCCCTCACACAGTCCCTCCCCCATTCCCCTTCCCCTTCTCCTTTGAGAGGGTGATCACCACCCCACCCCCACCTGGCACATCAAGTCTCTGCAGGGCTAGGCACATCTTCTCCCACTGAGACCAGACAAGGCAGCCCAGCTAGGTGAGCATATTACACAGACAGGCGCCAGCTTTAGGGATAGTCTCCTCCCGTTGTTAGGGGACCCACATGAAGACCGAGCTTCACATCTCAGCTAAGGTCACCCCCGACTGATTATTTTTATATATAAAATGTTAGCTTTGTGATTTTTAAAAGATTCTTACAAGATTACTTTTTAAGATAATAAAGTAATCCTTTCTTTGTAACTGCAAATTGCTGCCTGGCAGTAAGAGAAACTATCTTGCTTGCTCACACTTTGTTAATCTAGAACAATTTGCTAAGTTATGAATGTGGGTTTTTTTTAGAATAATTTGTTTTCGTTACCTGTCCTAAAGTAATGTTATTTCATGTGAAGGCATTGGGGAACATACTGTTTTTTTCATAGTCATTCATTAAAAGAAAAATAGAATGTAATCACATTGTAATTTTACACTGCTTGAAAGATTTTTCTGGGATATATAAGCTATGGAAGAAAAAATAAAGTAGTACTGGAGCTTGCTCCATCTACCAACTGTGTGTATGTGTGTATGTGTGTATATATGTGTATGTGTGTATATGTGTATATATGCATACAAGTGTATGTGTGTATATATGTATATATGTGTATGTGTGTACATATATGTGTGTGTATATGTGTATATATGTATATATGTGTGCATATATGTGTATATGTATGTATATATGTGTATATGTGTATGTGTGTATATATATGTGTGTGTATATGTGTATATGTGTATGTGTATATATGTATATATGTGTGCATATGTGTATATGTATGTATATATGTCTATATGTGTATATATGTGTGTGTATATATGTATATATATATGTGCATATGTGTGTATATGTATGTGTGTGTATATATGTGTATATGTGTATGTGTATATATGTATATATATGTGTATGTGTGTGTATATATGTGTATGTGTGTGTATGTGTGTATATATGTATATATGTGTATGTGTATATATGTATATGTGTATGTATATGTGTACATATGTATATATGTGTATATGTGTGTATATGTGTATATGTGTGTGTATGTATGTGTATGTGTGTGTATATATATGTGTGTATGTGTGTATATATGTATATATGAGCATGTGTGTGTGTATGTGTGTATATATGTGTATATGTGTATGTGTGAACTGCTTGGAGCCTACTTTTTGGAACTTTATTTCATCCATTCAGTGTGTGAATGTGAGTATGTCTGTCTGTCTGTAGGTCTGTATGCAAGTATGTATGTATGTGTGTATGTATGTATGTATGTATATGTATATGCATGTTGTATGTATATGTGTGAGGTTATTGGAATCTGCTTCGTTTTATCCACTGTTATGTATGTTTGAATTTTCTTTCTTTTCTTTTTCGAAGAGTTAGAAGAGCTCAGAGTTTTTCCACTGTTCACAGGGGATGCCAGCCCCCAGGAATCAAACTTTGTCCCCTCAGAGAAAAGTCTGCTGAGTAATTTCTCTAATTGCTGGCTGCCATGAGCAACAGCCCCCATCTGTTGCTATCAGCATTGACCCATCAGCCCTTCTACTGCTGACTATTGTAAGATGCTATCAGAACTGACCCCAATCACTGATATACCTTGCTGCCTGCCTCAGTTTACCCTGTGGTGTCAAAGCTGGTCTTTGACACCTTTGACAGTTGATGATGTCACCGGGGGTTATATTGATGTGTGTGGTCCATGCTGCCACTGAAGGCCATGTCTGGGTCCATGGTCCTACTGCAGACGGTGATTGTCCTGGTGTCCAAGGCTGTGCTATCACTGAGGGCCATGAGGATATCCTATCTGTGGGCTTTGCTGCTGCCCAAAGCCATGTTGTTGTTGGCCTGTGCTGTCACCAAAGGCTATATTGATGTCTTTGTGGCAGAGTGCCCTGTTGATGTCTGTGGTCTGTACTGACATGAGGCCATGCTGAGATCCATAGCACGTGCTGATGCTTGAGACCATGTGGAAGTCTATGACCTGTGCTTCCAATGACAGTAAAGGGCAAGGAAGCTATTTTTGCAGTGGTATTGATGACTGCAGACTCACAGTTGAGAAAGAGGGACATTGAAGGCTTACATGACAACCCCTATTCCCTACACCCTCAAAGTAACAGCCTAGACAGAAAGCCATTGACGAGAACTCTTAAAATTGAGATAAGGATGCTGAAATGTAGCTCTTCACAGATGGTGGCTTCAGATGTGGGGTCGGGCGGGAAAGGACTCAGTATGAGGCTGGCTACTGGGAATTTGGTCATATTCCAGTGAATATGTGGGCAACACAGATTGGATTTATTTCTTCTAGGGGGGGTTGGGGGAAGACCACAAGGATGGGGGAAGGCACACTTGGGAGGACTGGGAAGTGAGTGTGATTGGGGTTCATGATATAAAATTCCCAAATAATCAATAAAAATATTATGAAAAGAAACTTGAAAGTGAATTTTATAAACACCAAAAGATATTTTTTTTTTCAGAATAAAATGTATTTGAGATTCAAAACACTGAATCTATCATTTTGCCTGACGGTGTCAAAACTGCAAAGGGGTTAGTATGTGAGTTTACTCTATCAAAGCTAGAAAGTTAGACCAAGCAATTATCTTGAAAGATTGTGGTGCTGGATCTAGGAGACAAAATAATTTAAAAAGCTCCGCCACTTCCCCAGGCCCTGAAGTCTATGGTTTCCTCCCTGGGTGCCAGAGCCTCTGTACATACTCAGTGTGGAATTGGGGTATCCATCATAAAGACTCACCCTCTGACCCAGTCCCAGCTAGTCTGTGTGCATCTAGACATTTTGTTTACAAGAGTCATATGTGGGATCAGAGGTTTCTTACATATTTAGAGACAATCATATTTCCCTTTCTGCCCATTTAAAGTATACTGTAGAGGGACCTGGAGAACAATGCAGTCACTTATATGGTCACTATCCTAAAAGATCATGGCAATCCAATCTGGCCAAAGCATAGTTAAATTTGTATTTCCTAGACCCTCTCTTGGCCAAAAAACCAGACCATTGCCTCCCTAGAAGCAATGCAGGAAGGTGCTCTGAAGGGTGCTCTGAGAAAGTTGCTGTGAGGAAGGGTGCTGTGAGGAAGGATGTGCTGAGGAAGGGTGCTGTGAGGAAGGGTGCTGTGAGGAAGGGTGCTGTGAGGAAGGGTGCTGTGAGGAAGGGTGCTGTGAGGAAGGGTGCTGTGAGGAAGGGTGCTGTGAGGAAGGGTGTGCTGAGGAAGGGTGCTGTGAGGAAGGGTGTTGTGAGGAAGGGTGTTGTGAGGAAGGGTGGTGCTCTGACCAGCTTGCCTGGGGCTGCTGTCACGGAAAGAGATGCTTCCTTTTCTACAGCAGAACCCTAAATTATTAAGACAGGCTCTCTCTCCTATTGTCCTGATCATCATGTAGCAGGTGGTCAACAGAGTCCCTTCTCAGAAAGGTTTCTCAGAAGCCATTCTGCCTTACTAAGACACAGACTCAGAAGCAGTGAGGGAGGCGAAGTCAGAAGTCTCCAGAGTTTTGGGAAGGTCTTTATAATGGTGAATAGTATCAGAAGCCTAAAGATAAGACAGTGAGTGTCCATCCAATACTATAACTAGTGGCCCATTATTGGCTGATCCTTACATTGCTTGCTTCCTCACAGGTCCCACATGTCTGCTGAGAACAAGAAGGCTGTCACACACGCAATGTGGTCCATATTTTAATAAAGGGGCACTGAATCAGGAACTCCTTTGACAGAAAGCACTTAGCAAGTTTTTCCTACAAGCATTACATGAAACTTTTAAGGAGGCATGAGACTGACACGGCCTAGGTACAGAGTGGTTCCGGGAAGCAGGGAGATGACTCAGTGGGTTTACCTGCCACCAAGCCTTATGGCCTGAGATCTACTCCCAACACCCAGGAGAAGAGAAGTGACTCCCATGGCTGTCCCCTGACTCTGATGTGCATGTGGCTCACACATATGAGTGGCTAGGGCCTATATTCTTGGCATATCTGGCAAGATGTGTGGGGACTTGGAGGTAAGACTCCCCGTGGACTTGCCCTGTGAAAAACTATAAGTGCACTCAGGTGTCATGTCTGTGACCAACGCTTAAAGAAAGGGAACAAGCTGGTCAGTTCCTTCCAGTCAGAGAGGATGATCTCTTGAAATAAGAGAACTTGTTCCCTTCATTTGTTTTAATCTTCCACGAAGTGTTTTCAACCACAGCATATTTTTCTTAAGGATCTATACTTTTCTTCTAAAACAACAAAGTTGTCTTCACTAGTTATCGGATGTCTTAGTTTCCTTTTTTTCTTAGATACTCTCCTGAAAGAAAACACAGCATGTTAATAATTTATGAGTAGTGAACTACCATTGCAATACAGCTCATTCATTTTTCCAATGAACAGTGTTAGGTGACTGTGATGTGCTGGTGCCATGCTGTGTAGTGGAGTTGCAAGGGTAACGGGAGAGTTAAAACACAGGTCTGAGTCTAGTAGGAGAGAGAGCATTCCTCAACTCAACTCTATTTCATAGGTATATGGATATTTTATCAGCTCTAGAGGATGATTGGTTCTCCATGCCAAGAATGAAGGTGCACATAACTATCACAGGAAACTGGATGCAGGAGGGCTGACGGAACAGCAGAACCTGCTACCCACTCCTTAGGACTAGGTTATACCTACATTTAAAACTGGTCAAAAGGACTTCATTAAAAATATGTTAATAAGAAAAATATGAAAGCTGTGTTTCATTCATCAAAAATTCTGTGTGTTTTCTTAAACCAACTGCTGGATATTACTCCACTGGCCTTCCTCTGCTGCAGCCATGACAGATGCAAATGGTGGGAGAGCAGGTGAGTGTCAGCAGAGTTTTAGTCAGGTATGGTGGCACACTTCTGTAACCCTAGCACTTGGAAGTTAGAAGCAGATGTATCACATCAAATTCAAGGCCAGTCTAATTTGCATAGTGTTCTCGGCCAGTCAGGGCTACATAGGAAGACTTTGTCTCAAAAAAACAAAAACAAATAAAAAAGACCTCTAAACACTTAATAAAACACTTACTATAAAAATTACTGCCAGACAAATTCAGTAAGATGAATTATATATTTCTATTCATCTATGTTATAAATCTGGCAATAAGGTCTTAGATGATATTCTTATGAAAACAAAATATCCAAACCATGAAACTTTTGCTTCTTTCCATGTAGATGTCCAAATACAGAGCTTGATTTCTTACATGTGGATTTAGTTAAGATCTTGGCAACTTTTCACATGAAGGATCTAGGACATTTAGTTGTGTAGGAATTAAGTCATAGGAAGTTTAAGGAAAAATTATGGTTCTCTAATAATTTCATACTAAGTTTTAAAAACTGAGGTCCTAGAATTAGTGGTTAACATTTTACCAATGCATTTGAGCCACCAAAGTTGTTTGAAATATAAGCCTGGCTGACTTGTGTGAAGTAGTATAGCATTATTTGCCTATTCACTTCTTAAAGCTGTCATTAAGTCACGCTGTTAGAATCTTCCATCATAAAGACAATTTTGAGACAGGATCTCACCATGTAACTTTGGCCTCTGGCTTGAAATTAGCTATGTACATCGGTCTGGCCTTAAATTCACTGAGATTTGTCCACTTCTCTCCTGGAGTGCTGGGAGTAAAGGTATATGCTACTATACCCAGAGAATTAAAAAATATTAACTACCATGACTCTTTATTTCTCAAATTTTCTATAATACTCATGTAATTTTTTGATAGAAACAAACATAATTGTTGGGCGTAACATGTGCCTGTCATCCCAGAATTTAGTGGGCTAAGACAGGAGGACAGCAGGCTTGAGCCCAGTCTGGGGTACATAGTGAAACCTTATCTCAGAAAAAAGGGAGGGAGGGAGGGAGAGAAGGAAGAAGGGAGGGAGGGAAGGAGAGAGGGATGATGAAGGAAGCACAGTTTAATAGCGTTAACAAATAGCTGGGCTGCAGCTTGGCCCATCCCTCAGGATCCAAACACTTCTAACATACCGGGTACTTTCCTACAACAGTGGGCTCTGGCACAGTGCCAGTTGTATTATTCTTTGGAGTCCTTTGTAGCCATGGATTTAAAAGGAAAAAAAAAAAGGTCACAGAATCTTCATTATAACGAAGTCAGGGAACTTTCTGGTCTTCTCTATGGAATTAGCTCATCGTCTGAGCTCATAGGCTTATTAAGAGCCTAATGTCCTGTCTTCCTACTTCCTTCATTTTATAGATGCTTTAATGAGATACATTAGCTCAAATTATAGGTTTCTGTTCTGGTTTCTGCTCCTACTCTGCTGAAACCAGGCCTCCTTTTCTGGTACTTAATTTCTCACATATTCATTTGAGGTTAGCTCACTAGATCTTTCCTGGATTCTGTTAGTAGAAGTCATCCACTTCTGTTTATCAAACATGTACTAATTTCCTTCTCAAAATCAGGTGCTGTGTTAGGTATCAGATGGGAGGATGATTAAGAAGGCATGTTTCGGGCTGGAGAGATGGCTCGATGGTTAAGAGCACTGAGTGCTCTTCCAGAGGTCCTGAGTTCAATTCCCAGCAACCGTATGGTGGCTCAGAACCATCTGTAATGGGATCTGATGCCTTCTTCAGATGTGTCTGAGGACAGCGACAGTGTACTCACATAAAATAAATAAATAAATCTTTAAAAAAAAAAAAAGAAGGCATGTTGCTTCCCGGGTTCATAATCTAGATTAAGAAAGAGCTCTAATGGGAATAGCAATGGCAGTGTGGATAAAATCACAGCACAGTGGAAGTCCAGATCTGACGTGGACCTTCTATGACATGGTAACCAGGTGTGAGGAGCACGGACAGAGCAGGAGTGTATATCTGGCAGGTGTGATGACATCTGTAGAGGCACGGGGCAGAGAGTATGTCTCATCTAGCTTTGGTCTGAGATGGTGCAGGGCATATGACTGGACGCCGTAGTTATTTACTACAAGAATGAATGAATGAATGAGCGGTTAGCTACTTTTTCTAGATGCCCCTCCTACTTCAAATGACTGTTTTAAACAATTCTAAGGTTGTTAGAAATGCAAAATAGGCTGGGCAGTGGTGGCTCATGCCTTTAATTCCAGCACTTGGGAGGCAGAGGCAGGCGGATTTCTGAGTTTGAGGCCAGCCTGGTCTACAGAGTGAGTTCCAGGACAGCCAGAGCTACACAGAGAAACTCTGTCTTGGAAAAAAAAAAGAAAGAAAGAAAAGAAAGAAAGAAATTCAAAATAGATGTAAAATAAAACATAAAATGATTTGCCATTTAATTTACACAAATTTAAACCAGGGAAGGGACACCAACAAGATGGCTGCTTCTCTACTGGGAGCGTCATCTTCCAACAGAGTGGGTCCCTAACACTTATTTGCTTTTTAACCTGCTTCCTCTTGCTCCCATGCCCATTGATCTTGCCTAGCTTACTGATGTGGGGGTAAGAGTAGGGGTGAACTAGATGACACAAATCAGGGTCCTCAGGATACCATGCCAGGGAAGGAAGCAGCTGCACCGCAAAGGGATGGAACAAAGCTGACTCACTTAGAAGCGGAGACAAGATAGAATCCTAGCAGTGCTCCATCAGTGGCACCTGCATTTCCCACGGCTCGCAGTGATCAATACTTTCTCTGGTTATGTACACCACCTCTGGATCCCCCAGGAAATTCTTCCTTTCTTCTCAGGCTAGTTTGAGTAGAGTCTCAAACCTTAATGGGGGGCAGACTTACCCAGCTTCTCTGTGGCTTCCACACAGACGCTAGGATACATTCCTGCAGTGTAAGTTGCCACAAGAAGATACATGTGGGTCTTCACCACCACCACACCAGTGTTCTCCTAGATAAAGAAGAAAACAGAACACTGCCCGTGGTCCTAACATCAGGATCAGCAGTCACCCCCAGACGCTTAAAAAACAAAAACCAAACAGCCCTACTTCCTGACTTATTTGTATTCATGTATTTTTGTTTTAGTCTTCCATTCCTTTTTTAGAAAGTTAGTACTTTTTTTCTGAAAAGGTTTCAGGTTTTTGTACTAATATCAAGCATATTGTGAAGAAAAGTTCCTGGAAAAAAAAACTGTACCATACACTGACAGATTAGAACTCCACTGTCCATGTAGAGGTTGGAGTGTTGCAGGTCCAGAGCCCAATAACTATGTATTCTGGGCTGACCTAGCCCCCCAGCAACCATCCTTTGCCAAACGTATACAGTGTATTTAAACAGTCCCACACAACCCCAGCTTTATGGCATGTATCTCTGTGTCTGTCTGTCTTCCTTCCCTGACTGCCCTAGTCAGGGGGTCAGGACCCAGCATAAGCAGGTTATGGACCATGAAGGATCAGAAAGAGATAGCTTAGTTGACAGATCCAGAATGAATATTTACAACAGTCAGCATATCTGGCTGAGGATGCTTTCTTTGCCTTTATTTAATTTCAGCACAGGACATCAGACCCAGTGCTTTGCACATGCTAGGCAAGTTTTCTACCTTGGAGGCCCATCCCCAGCCTGCCTGACTATTTTCAGATATGCCTTCCTGGCACTAGGTTGTTATCTGAATGACTTAAGGCATTATTCTGTTTTGCAGAGGGGGTGAAAAATATTGAAGTAAAATTATTAAGGTTTTTTTTTACCCATCTGTCTTCAAACCTTGGATACTTACATTCTTAGCATAGAGAGAACAGTCATCTGCCCGGACACATTTGTAATCCTTTTCCCTGAAATACAACCCTTCCCTTCGGGTTAATAATGGGTTTTTGGCAAATCCGTTCAAAAGTGTTCGAACATCACTTGGCATTACCTGCAGAAGTTAAAATAGGCCAAGTCAGAAGAGCAGGACACTGGACTTTCCCCAAGGGCTGGGAATGGTTTTCACTTTGTTTGTTTGGTGTTTGTTTTGTTGTTCTATTTTTTTTGTTGTTGTTTTTCGAGACAGGGTTTCTCTGTGTAGCCCTGGCTGTCCTGGAACTCACTCTGTAGACCAGGCTGTCCTTGAACTCAGAAATCTGCCTGTCTCTGCCTCCCAAGTACTGGGATTAAAGGTGTGCGCCACCACCACCCGGCTGTTGTTCTGTTTTTGAGGCAGGGTTTCTCTGTGTAGCCCTGGCTGTCCTGGAACTCACTCCATAGACCAGGCTTAGTACAGGATATTTGAATCTGTTTCTAGTTGTGGTGTGGCTGGCCTTTAGCATAGATCTTTAATTTCTCTGGCTGGCTGAGCAATTCAGAGGCCTAGAGAAAAGCCAGATTGAATCAGTCATCTTGGAGAGGAGTTTGAGCCAGAACAGCTGAGTTCAGCCAGTGAGAGCTAAGAAAGAACAAAAGGGACTTATTCAGCAGGAAGTCTCAGAGGCTGAAAACATTTTAGGCCAAGATTAGATTATGCACAAGCTAGAAACTTCAAGACTAGATCTAGGTTAGCAGTCGGAGGCAATAAGCCTCCCAGACATCAATTAAAGCTTGCTTTTTCTTTGACTATTTGTGTTTATTGTCTTGCTTGTTCCTTGACTATTTGCATCTATTGTATTGCTAGTTTCTCAACCTAGAACTGACCTTAATACTTGCATGTAATTAAAGTGGTATAAAAGCAAAAAGGAGGAGGGGGGATGGTATAGGGGGTTTCTAGGGAGGGGAAATGGGGAAAGGGGATGACATCTGAAATGTAAATAAATAAAATATCCAATTTAAACAAGTAAACAGGAGAATAAGTTAGTTTTACACAGTCTGGCCTGGAACTCACAGGAGGTCTGCCTGTCTCTGCCTGAGTGCTGGGATTAATGGTGTTTGCTGCTACTGCTTCGATTGGTTTTCATTTTGTGACAAGCCACCATTACAGGAACTTGCATAAGACCGCATTAACAAATAGCCACACCTATCCCTTTTGTGCATTCTCTATGGCTGCTCTTCCGTGACAACGGAATCAATGATGGTTACGGCTGTGTGGTCCAGAATCCTAAGGCACTGCCAACGGCTTCTATCAGAACAGTCTTTTTCATTTAAAGGTCACACCTTCAGGAAGAGACTTTCAGAAAAGGATTCCAGTAGCACAAGAAACAACCTCAAGAACCAACAAGTGGGGTCACATGAAACTGAAAAGTTATGTACAGCAGAGGAAACAATCACTGAGCAAAGTGGCAGAATATGAAACACAAAATAACCACCAACCACATACGGGACAGGGATTGACGCACCAAAGGTATATGAACTTCAAGACTCAGAATGCCAAAACCCCAAATCACCCACCCACCCAATCAACCAACCAATCAACTGAATAAGTGATTCTTGAAAGAGATACGAAAGGACCAAATACTTGAAAAATTAGGAATCAGAGAAATGCAAGTTAAAAACTGCTTTGAGCCTGGCAGTGATGCCATGTCTTTAATTTCAGCATTTAGGAGGCAGAGGCAGGTGGATCTTTAGGAGTTCGAGGCCAGCATGGTCTGTAAAGTGAGTTCCAGAACAACCAGGAATACACAGAGAAAACATTTCTCAATATTGCCCCCCCAAAAAACAACAAAACAAAACAAAAAAAACCCCAAAAACCTAATCCAAAACGAGAAGTGCTCTGAGAGGCTGGAAAGATGGCTCAGTACTTAAGAGCACTTGTATTCTTCCAAAGGACAGGAGTTCAGCTCGAAATGTCCATGTCAGGTGGGTCTTTACTGCCTACAACTCTAACTCAAGAGGATTTGAAGCCCCCTTCTAGCCTCCAAGAGCACTGTACTCAGATGTACATATGTATACACACATGTACATAGATGAGAATAATAGTTTTGGAGAGATGGCTTAGAGGTTAAGAATACTTGTTGCTCATGGAGAGGATCCAGATTCAGTTCCCAGCACCTCTAATGGTGGCTTACAGTTCTAGGGGATACAAATCTTCTGAATTCTGAAGGTACCAGGCAGACATGTGACACACATACAGTTAAGACATTGATATACAAAATAAAAATTACAACCCCCTCCCCTGCTTTGAGAATCCATCATATACCAGTCAAAATAAGTATCCAGAAAACAAAAACAAATGGGGGCAGGGATGTAGCTCAGAAGGTAGAGTATCTGTCTAGCACGCTGAAGCTCTGGGTTTAGTCCTCAGGACTGCACAAACCAGGCATGGTATTCCATGATTACAGTCTTAGCACTTGACAGGTAGAGGCAGAAGGTTCAAAGTTATCTCTGGATATCTAGCAAGTTGCAGGCTAGCCTCAGCTATATGAGCCTTCTTTAAGAATAGAAAATAAAGAAGAAGACAAATGACAAGAGCTGGCAAGGACATGAGGAAAGAGAGGAGGAACTCAATTCTCGGCTGCTGTGGATGCAAACTGGTGCAGCCACTGCGGAAATCAGCAGGGAAGTTCCCAAAGCTGCACGTGGAACTACCCTGTGACCTAGCTATGCCACTCGGGTACCAATAACGGAAGGACTTTAAGTCAACAGAATCAACCTGTCAGCACAGACACACGTAGGTGTTTATTGTTGTAGTTCCCACAATTGCCAGGAGATGGAGCCCTAGATGCCTGCCACTAGATCAACGGATAAAGATTAGTACACATACACAATGCAATTTTATATAGCCATAAAGAAATTAAAATGGCTGGAAATGATGGAACACGCTTTTAATCCGAGCACTTGGGAAGTAGAGGCAGGCAGATCTCGGTGAATTTGAGGCCAGCCTGGCCTACATAATGAGATCCTGTCTCAGGGGAAAAAAGAAAATAAAATCATGACATTTGGAGCAAAAAATCATTGTGTTAAGGATACATAAACCAGACTCAGAAAGACAATTACCACAAAACTGCCCCTACACATCTTCTTTTATATATGAAACCTAGATTTAAAATTATGTGGATGAGGCTGCATGTATGGCTTGTTGTTCTTGCAGAGGACCCAGGTTCAGTTCCCACTGCTCACCCACTTTGTGAGTACCAACTGTCTAGTTCTAGAGATCTGAAGCCCTCTTTTGTCCTCTGGAAGCACTGCATAAACATGGTGCACGAACATACATGCAGACAAAACAACCCATACACATAAAACACATCTTTACAGTTATGTGTAACTGTATATATATATATGTATATGAGACAGACTATCATAAGAAGGGAGAAAGATCTCTTAAGGAATGTAGGAAACAGGATAATGGAATACACACGAATAATTAAGAAAACAGAATAATTAAGGGAGGAAGAGAACCAGCAGAAGCAGGAGCAGGTGTATAGAAGGGCCTTGGGGATAGGAATGAATCAAAACAATGTCTAATGTCATATGGGATCAGGCTATGCTTTGCCCTAAATTACACTATATTTTGTAAAACAGTGGTTTTTCATTGTGTCTTGCCCTGAGAGACTCCATTTTGAAGATGGACGCTGACTTCGCACCTGGATGAACAGCAGGTCTATCCAGAACTACGCACTCAACACAGACTGAAAATGACTTATTTCTGGGAGAGAATGCTGAAATAGTAGAGGTATATGGACATATTAAAATCATATTAGAAAAAAACAGGTCCAAGAAATTACCATATACAGCAGAGCAAAGAATGGGTGTGTCTCCCGCACCTGACGCCATAATGATGCAAACACCTAGCACTGAGATGGGATTGGTCCCTACTGACCTGGACCTGCCCCATCTATTAGTCTACAAATCTGCCTGGACCCTTCCTGACTCTTTTTTATTCCAGGAGTTGGTTTCAAGTCTGCAGCTTCACTCTCAAACTCGTGATCTGAAGGAGCCTAGTCAGGGCAGTTTCTTCAGATTCTTTCCTGAAGCTCTGGTTCTGTTAATTTATCAATAAATATTATCAAATATCTGCTGATATTTCTACCAACTGCCCTGCTTTTCAGGACTTCTGAAAACTCTTGACCTTTGCTGTGGCCTCATAACACTTTATTGTCATTCTGTAACCGTGTGTGTGTGTGTGTGATCCAAGAGTTGATATTAGTAATTAAAATAGAGGAATAAAAGAGTCTGTGTTTACCCCAGTTAGGTTACCAAGGAAAGCAGGCATATGTATGAAATTGATGCCACAGAAACCTTGTGAATCTATCACTACTCAATAAATTCTGACATTGTTGAAACATGTTCAGATTTTTACATAGCTTACTTACAACACATACATGAAGATGACATATGAAAACCAACATTTTGCCGGGCAGTGGTGGCGCACGCCTTTAATCCCAGCACTTGGGAGGCAGAGGCAGGTGGATTTCTGAGTTCGAGGCCAGCCTGGTCTACAGAGTGAGTTCCAGGACAGCCAGGGCTACACAGAGAAACTCTGATCTCGAAAAGCAAAAAACCAAAACCAAAACCAACCAACCAACCAACCAAACAAAAAAACCCCAACATTTTGTATGTTAACCTAAAAAATATTTTTAAAAAAGCTTTCCCCCTCTTACACTAAATCCTGGTGATGTCACACATAGGGTCTTTTCTTGGAGTTTGATGAGGGCTGCACTGTCCACGTGCTTCGTCCCCAGTAGGGTATCTAACAGTAAGTTTTGCAAGTGACTCATGCTTCCTCAGCTGTGAACGGGAAACTGCAGTCGAAGAGTCCACGAGTGAGAATACAAGTGCTTCTGGCGCTTCAGTTTTATTATCAGTGTGTGTCCTTTAAAACGTTGGATGAGTAAAAATGGACAAGTCCATCATCCAGTGTTCATCAATACTCAGAGGAAAAGAAAAACTATTATAGAAAAATCAGAATTCACAGAGTGGCTTATGGAGTTGAGTTTAAAAAAAAAATCAGAGCCTCAATATTTTTTAGCTATTTAATGATTTACCTGAGATTTAAAAACAAAGTCGAGCCTATTATTTTGGGTACTCTAAGGGCAGGAAAGTCACAAAGTTCAAGGCCAGTGAGACCCTGTCTTAAAAAAATAAAGATCTGAGAATAATTTTTGGCGGTAGAGTTGGATACGTAAAGTCCTCCATTCAATTCTCAGCCCCGCAAAAATGAACAAACAAATAAAGAAAAGTAAAATAAAGTATACACAAAAAGACGCAACCAGTTATCCACAAAATCTCAAAACCACTCAAGGTGCACCACTTAGATAATTTTTTCATTCCTCCTCCTTGGCCAGCATCAACGCTGTAGACAAGACACTGGTCAACAAATCTGAGCTCTAAGACCACCTTGGAGGCTCTTTAGAGCTAGCTACATTTCCTGCTCCTGTGCTGCCATCTTGGACGGCCCTCATAGGGTCAACCGCCACAAACACTCGTTTCACCACAGGTACCTAGTAAGCCGCTCTCAAGCTGCTCCCTTCTGAGAACTGATTGATGGGAGGCGGGTAGCCTAACTAAACGTGAAGTCCTGGAGGTCGGGAACTAAACACTGGGTATCGGGGCTACAGAGAGGCGAGGCTCCACCGAGGGGCGGGCGTAGCACCGATCTGGAAAGCCGATTGGCTGTGACAGCTGCCTGTTAGCGCGAGACAGGTACGCGGCTTTCTCGACCCGCCTCCCGCCCAGGCCCGAGCGCCGCACTCCTCCGTGCTGTTTGACGAGGTGCGCGCGCGTTCTTGTCTTCCCCCGTGGCTGAGGGGCGCGTGGGGGCCGCGTCCAGGAGACAAAGGCCCGAACGTCGGCGCGTTCTGAAACCACGGTCTCGGGCTGAGGTTGCGTGCTCATTGTGGTGTCGAGAGCCGAAGGGCCTGCTGGCCACCAGAGGGGGCTGAAGGGCCTGAGGAAGCTTGCACCTCAGGGCGGCTCGCGCACGCGGTCTGTGTTAGAGCCTGTGAATCGGGGACCCTGTACTCCTTGGTGAGCCGGCCTGGTGCCCTAGATCCATCATGGGCGCAGACCCAGAAGTCCCGTTCTCCCTCACATGTAGGCCCTGGGGAGGGCTTTGGATCTCTCGGAGCTTGAAGGCCTGAGTTTTGTCCCAAATTCTCTTCCTTTTCCAAGAATTCACTTGTCAATAGCTTGGAAGTCTCAACTCTTAACATTCATGTCTTATCAAACCTACAGAACTGCTGGGAACTAGATTTTTAGCCAGGAGGGTTTCAAGAGAGCCCTGTTTGAAGCTAACTGGAAGGGAAACATGGATAGCCAGTTTTCGAAGACTTGTTCCATAAGCGCCCAAGGTTGATTATTAAACAGAAGAGAAAATGATTGTGACTTTTAATTACAAAATAAATGCTATTTTAGCTTTTTTTAGGGACTCTGTTACTTGATGACCACAATGAAAAATAGGAGCCAAGATGATATGGTATCTGGCACGCTTCCAAAGCTCAAGAGCTCCAAAGAATGGTTGGAACCACAGTCGCTTTCTTTTATGGAGGTATAGTTGTCTAGCTGTTGAGGTTCTTGCTTAGAGAGGTGCCTTGTATATACTTCTATTTTATTTTTCTATTTTACTCTATTGGTTACAGCCTATCCCCTTTGCTCTGCTAACTTTGTTACTTACCAACTTTGCTCTTTATTTAGGAGCTTAAAGTAGAATCATAAACCATTGATTATAAATTTTAACAATATAAGAAAGCTGTTAAAAATCTACTTAAACTTAAATATGTTGTAATTTTTTCTAAAGCGTTTTATTAAGGTATAATTGGTATGAAATAAATATACGTGAAATGCATAATTTGATAAGTTTTAATATGTGTATGTTCCTGAAGCCATTTTTACACATCAAGATAATATATTCAGTCTTCCCAGTTTTCTCATCCAGTTCTTTTGGAGTACCCTCTCTCCACCCTCACCCCCACCTCTCTCATTTTCTGTAACCATTCTGTCATCATGGTTTTGCTTATTTTAAAAAAATTTTATGCAATGAAAACTTATGTATTCTTTTTTTGTTTTGTTCTGTTTTTCTGTTTGTTTTATTTTTGGTTTGTTTGAGACAGTGTTTCCCTGAGTAATCCTGGTTGTCCTGGAACCACACTGTAGACCAGGCTGGTCTCAAAATCAGAGATCTGCCTGCAGTTGCTTCCAGAGTGCCTGGCTCCTATGTAGTCTTTTTAAATTTGGCTTCTTTCACTTAAAATTATTTTTTAAGTTCATCCATGATGTTGCATGTATCAATATATTCCAGTCTTTTTATTTTCTTAAGCAACTTTTATTCTATTTAATGGATATGTCCCAATTTGTCCATTGTATTGATGGACATTTGGGTTGTTTCCAATTTGCAGTTATTATATTTGTGTCGTTGTATAGACATGTTTTCATTTTCCTTGGGTAACATTTAGTTGAGGAATGATTGATTATATAGTAAATTAAGTTATCTTTTTATGAAGCTGCCAATTAATAATGATTTTTTTTGTTTTTATTTGTTGGGCATTTTTTTCAAGTCTTGCTTTTTTTGTTTTTGTTTTTGTTTTTTTGTTTTTCTAGACAGGGTTTCTCTGTGTAGCCCTGGCTGTCCTGGAACTCAAAGCTGGCCTCGAACTCAGAAATCCGAACTCAGAAATCCACCTGCCTCTGCCTCCCAAGGGCTGGGATTAAAGGTGTGTGCCACCACTGCCCGGCTTGCTTGTTATTTATATATCTTCTTTGGTGAAGTTTGTTCAAGTATTTGTTCTTTTTTATCAAGAATTTAATACTGAGATATAATTTTTTTGTTGTTGTTTTTCTTGAGACAGGGTTTCTCTGTGTAGCCCTGGCTGTCCTGGAACTCACTCTGTAGACCAGGCTGGCCTCAAACTCAGAAATCCGCCTGCCTCTGCCTCCCAAGTGCTGGGATTAAAGGCGTGCGCCACCACCGCCCGGCTCTGAGATATAATTTATAAACATACCAGTTACTACTTTAAAGTGTATGATTCCGTATCCTTTTAGTCTATTCACAGGGATGTATAACATCTTCCACTTTCTTAATTCCAGAGTATTTTCATCATTTCTAAAAGGCAACTATATTTTTTGGCAGTCACTCTTCTTTCTTTGCCCCCTAATTATTGATAACAGTAGTCTACCTTCTAACTCTGTGAATTTGCATATTCTAGACATTTATACAAATGAGTCATATGTAATATGTGACCCTTTGTGACTGGTTTCTTTCATGTGGAATAATGCTTTCAAAGTTCAACCATGTTGTACCATATATTACTTCATGGTGTTTTAAATTATATGTTATATGTGTACCGGTGTTTGTGCAGGTCAGAAGGAGGTGTCGGGTTCCCTGGAGCTGGAATGGTTTTAAGCTACCGGATGTGTGTGCTAGGAACTGAACTTCCTCCTGGAAGAGCAGCAAGTACTCTTAACCCCTGAGCTGCCTCTCTAGTCTCTACTTCATCCTATTCATGATGAAGTCCTGTTACAGTGCTTGGATACCACATTTTATTTCATCAGTGGCTGAACGTTTGAATTGTTTCTAGTGTTTTGTTATGAACATTGCTCTCAGGAACATTTGTGTGTAACTTTTAGTTTGGACATGTTTTCAGTTCTCTTGTAACATAGTCTTGGACTCGATGGATCAAATAACTATACATAACTTTTTGGGAAACCAGCAAAGAGATTCCCTACAGCAACTGTGCCATTTCATTATATAGTTCCAGCAATGTGTGATGGCTATAATTTCTCCACTACTTGGAGTTTATTGGATTTCTTGTATATGTTGGCTTACAGTTTCCAAAATGCCCTTCCTCTTTCAGGTATTCTTTCCCTCTCCCCCTTGGCAACCCCACTTTTGTCTCTCTGACAAGATCTCTGTTGTCTCTGCTGCCCTCAGATTCTAGTCCTCCTGTCTCCGCCTTCATGTCGCTTAGCCTGGGTCTGAACTGAGTTATTCCTAATGCTATACTTTCATATTTACTGATTCTGGTTTATGTCATCTCCAATCTTTTGACAAACTCTGAGGTTTGTTTCTTTTTAAAATTTAAGAACTAGATTTTTCCACTGGTTCTTTTCTTACTTCTGTTTATTTGGCTAAGTCTGTCCATTCATTGTTAGTATATTTTTAGGGGGGAGGGATATTTTGGAAATATTTTCCTTTGAAGAGGACCTCACTGTATTGCATAGCTTGGTTTTCCATTCTTTGCCATCATATAGCAGACTCCTGAGTACCTGGAATAACTGGAATTAGGGCTTGTGTATGAAACTGTTCTCCAGAAGTCTCTATCGTTCAGTTACAATATATGGACCATCCCAGATTCTGCTGATTTTTTTTTCTTAAGTATGGGTCACACTTTCCTTTTCCTCTGTGTGTAGTAATTTTAGATTCTATTTTAGACATTATGAATTATGCATTATTAGAGGATCTGGCTTCTTTTATGCCATAAAGAATATTGAATTTATCAGGCAGTTGACTTTAGAGCCGAGTTCAGGCTCTAAACTTTGTCTGTTAGTTAGCAGCAGGGGAAACCACTTTCCTTTTCTTAAGCTTTAGTTGGGCAGCATAAAGCCCTGTCCACAGACAGTTAAAGTGCTTCAGTAGTAGAGGATTTGATTAGTATAAATATTAATCTGTATCACTGTTAGGGAAAAAGTCTTCTGTAATTGCCATGAACTTTGCTTTCTAATTCCTCAACCAATGAGAGCACATTTATGTGAATTTTAGCTACCTCCATTAGCTCTGGTTTTAATTCGTCTGGCAAAAGGAGATGGAGCCTTTTGGTCATTCTCCAGTGTCTTCAGATTTTCAGAGTGTTGTGTATGTGTGTGTACACATATATACATATATATTTATAAATATATACATACACACAGACACACACACATATGTTATTATTATTTTTTGGTATGGAGCTAGAATATTAATCTACTACCAATCTTACTTGAGGACAACAGTCTTGTCAGAACCAGCAACTCTCTGTGCAAAAGGAGGAAAGAAAATGAATTGTGACGTCAAAGGCATTGGTTCACACCTGTAATCTTTGCACTTAGGAGGTGGTGGCAGGAGGATCACAAGTCTGAGATTACTGAGCACATTTTAGGATATGTTAGAACACATAGCCAGATCCTGTTCCCTCAAAAAATATTAGACACACGTTTGAATTGTGGTTCAGTGGGTGTGGGGGGTGCACTTCTTTAATCCCAGTACTCAGGAGGCAGAGGCAGGTGGATTTCTGTGAATCTGAGGACAGTTTAGGGTACATAGTGAGTTCCAGGATAGCCAGGGCTATATATTGAGACTCTGTCTCAAAATCAAACAATAATAAAATTACATTAAACCCACACAAAAAATACATAAATTTAGTAGGTGATTACAAGGTCTTCATGAATGATAAATGTATTTATTCATTTATTTGTTTAATTTATGTCCCTACTGCCTTTGAGAAAAAAATGTTTCACTCTACTAAGCAACTGGTCAATTGTCATGGAAGATTAGTTAAGGAACATAAGATGGGCTGGGTTGGAGGCACGGGACTGTACTTCCAACACTTGGGAGACTGAGACAAGGAATGGATGACACTAGTTTGAGGTCAGCCTGGGCTAGATAATAAGTCCTGGCCAACCTGTGCTACATTGTAAGAAGATTTTAAAGACAAATGTCTTTGTATTTCAATATACTATTCTTAAATTTTATAAATATCCAGCCATAATTTCATAATACTTTTACATTTCATGTAATTTTGTAGATAAAAATTAATCCATGCTTCATTTTATCCATAATCTTTACATTTCAGTTTTTAAAAAAGCAATTTCAAAAACAAATCAACAGGTAAATTTATTATCAAAAAGTAGTCAGGGGAGCATGACACGGAATGCACTCACCCTCTTAGACCTTGTGTTGTTATATCTTGGTGTTTTTTTTTTTCTAGGTATTGCTCTGCCTAAGGTGGTGTTAAGCTGTCATAGCCTTACATTAAATGTACAGCAAGATTAGTCTGTTTTCTATGGTTAAGATATCTCAAATAGAGGCCTGTGCATATCTGTCTTAGACCAGGAAGGTGAAAACATTTTATCAGGTATGGGGAAAGATGGTTCTAACTATGGCATGGCTCTGGGAAAGTCATTTGACTGTCCTTGGACAGAAAATATCTGTGAGATGAATTATTTTTTACCTTGGGATGAGCTGTAACCAAGAGTGGAAAGATCAAAATAGTATTTGAAGAAGTGCTTAGTGATACAGAAAACTGGATTACAGAGAATGCTTCAGGGATATGCCTGTAACATAAAAATATAGTAGGCACAGATTATACTAATGATCTTTCAAGATTTGATTTTTTGGACTAATTCTTTTCTTGTAGGCTTTAGCTAAAGAAGATACCGATGCAGCTGTTCAATCAATTTTATATAGAGAAAATTATATAATGAAGGTAAGAATTGGCTACAAAATGCATCTTAAATATTTTTTTTCATTTTCAATATAGTATTTACTCAAGAATTTTGAGTAAAGTTCAAAGTTTTAGATAATATAGAAAATAGAGCTAAAAGCACTCATTAGCAATTGGGATTAAATGGAGGACATCTCTGAGGGTGTGGTAATGATTGACAGTCTCCTGAACTTTGGAGGACTTCCTTCAACACTTCCCAGCAGATGCAACTGCACACACACACACACACACACGTAAAATAAGTCTAGGATAACTTAACTGACAATGTATACTATATTGTTTATATTGTTTCTCCTTACAATGTGTGGTATATTTATTTTGTTTAAATCAAACTTTTATTTCTTATTAATATAGATGTGTATATATGTATGATATGTGTATGTGGAGACACATGCCACAGCACACATGTGAAGTCAGAGGACAACTTTGTGGAATTTGTTCTCTTCTTCACCTTTATATGGGTTCTGGGATCACATTCAGGTTGCCAGGCTTGGGTGACAAGTGTCTACCTGCTGAGTCATCTCACTGGTGTTTGATCATCAGGAAGGGTGGGCATGCTGCCTCCATTGTCCAGGTACCCTTGGTTTTGGCAGTGTGTGCCAAATAGTGAAAGTTAATGGGTTGAATTAATGGGTTATTCTTAGGAACAATTTAGGTTTATGAAGTTTGAGTCTTATACAATTTTAGGATATAAAAGCTTCAGGAAGATATGATTGTCTTTCTGTCTCTGTTTACTAGGAACTAGATAAGTATTTACATCATCATGACTTCTTAAACACAAGAAAAAAAGAGATGTTGTATAAAAAATGGGTTGAACGCGTGGCAGATCCTCTCCAGAAGAAAATTATAGAAAAAGTTTGTTCACATAAGAACATTAAAAAGAGGAGACGTCAAGAATTAGACAATTTTTTGAAACATTCAAATAAGAAGGTACAAAGAGATCATTTATATTTTTTATACTGGTTTAAGGGCTTATCTTTGATCACCTCCTCTTTAGTTGTCCAAATAGTCTGCCTCTTTCTCTTCTATTTATATATGATCTATACTCTGATATAGTATCTTAGTCAGGGTTTCTATTCCTGCACAAACATCATGACCAAGAAACAAGTTGGGGAGGAAAGGGTTTATTCAGCTTACACTTCCACATTGTTGTTTATCACCAAAGGAAGTCAGGACTGGAACTCAAGCAGGTCAGGAAGCAGGAACTGATGCAGAGGGCATAGAAGGATGTTACTCACTGGCTTGCTTCCCCTGGCTTGCTCAGCTTGCTTTCATATGGAACCCAAGACTACCAGTCCAGGGATGGCACCACCCACAACCCCCCCCCCCCCCCCTAATGGGAAAAGGGGTTACAGGGAGATGTCATGGAGGCATTTCCTCAAGGGAAACTTCTTTCTCTGTGATAACTCCAGCTTGTGTCAAGTTGACACAAAACCAGCCAGTACAGATAGTATATTCTTTTAAAATTAAATTGTATGTATTTATTCATGTACCTCCGTGTGTGTGTGCATGCATGCTTTGTGTGTGTGTGTGTGTGTGTGTGTGTGTGTGTTTATATTCACGAGCTTGCAGGGAAGTCAAAGTTCTTTCCATTGTGTTAGTTCTGGGGATTATGAGGTCTGCTGGTCTGTTGGTAAAGGGCCTTTACCCGCTGAGCTGTCTTCTGCATGAAGGAATGATGTTGATGCTGATATGAAGCATAGGCCTGGAACTGTGTGGGACAGGGAATGGACTCAATGCCTCAGGTTAGTTCCTTATAACTGAGGGGCAGGAGGCTCAAACTGGTTAACGTTTGAGTTCTGATATCCTCAAAATTTATTGTGTACCTCTTTCTTATGTGTTTTTTTTCTCCTTTTTATAGGGAAATGCATTTATAGAGCATTATGATCCAAAAGAATATGATCCTTTTTATATGAGCAAAGAGGACCCCAATTTTCTGAAGGTAGGCAGGTTTCTTAACTGTGATACTATGTGTCTGGTTGTTCTGAGCAGTCTTAGCATATGGATTGCCTTGTAGTGACTTATGAAAGCTTAGTAACATTGTGAGAGTGCTTTCCCATCTTCATATATTACAAAGGAATAAATAGCCCAAAGGCCAAAGATGAATTATCTTCAGAAAACACAAAAATTCTGTATAATAACTGAATAATAAGAAATGTTTAAACATTTTCAAAAACTTTAAAACTTGTTACAACAGTAATACATTCTTTTGTTTTGTTTGTTTGATTGTTTGTTCATTTGTGTTTTGAGAGAGGGTCACTCTATGTAGCGTTGACTTTCCTGGAACTCATTATGTAGACTAGGCTGGCCTCATAGAGGTCCACCTGCATCTGCCTCCCTGTTTGGATTAAAACATGCACTATTACGTTCTTATAACAAATAAGAAAACTGATTTAAAAAAATACTAAAAATTTTATTACCCCAAACTAATTGATTGTATTTTTATATACATTTCTGGATTTAATTTATTTACTTATTTATTTGGTGTTAACCACATTTGCTTTTCTTTCTATATATTAAGCATATGTTTTACCACTGAGCTATGCCCCTAGCCTTACGGCTTCTTAAGTCCATCTCCACTGCTGCTGTGTAAGGTAATTCAAGATGAGGTGGTACAGCACAGATAGGTCATTTGTGAAATCATCTACCTGTGAATAGCAGAGCTTACATGAGTCTCTAGTCATTTACCACACCTTGCTATGCTCTTACAAATGTAAGTATTGCTCTTACAAATGATTTTATGACACTTATCTCTGTAGCTAGGCTTTATTTTTCCTTAGTGCAAGTTACTAGAATTAGAATTGATAAGTTCATATTACCAAACTGCCTGAATAATAGGGTGTATATACTGAAACTATTGTCCATTTTTTATATTTTACTAATAGTGAATATTGTAAAACAAACAAACTTCTCAATAAAACTATCTAGAGTCATAAGACACTTTTAATCTGCTGGTATTTTTACAATGTTTCCTCCATTTTCTTCTGAATTTGTGTGTGTGTGTGTGTGTGTGTGTGTGTGTGTGTTATAGACCCTATTTACAAAGGTGAGAATTAGAGTTTAGAGTCTTAAACATACCAAGTAATAACTAACATAGAGGTGGAACTGTGATTTGAAACTGGAGTTGTTGATACCTTATTAGTCCATTTCTGCTGCTATAACAAAATACTTTGAACTAGGTAATTTATAAACAACGAAAAGGTATTGCCCATGATTCTGAAGGCTAGTGTGGTAGCTCAGACAAGAATGGATCCCATAGACTTATATATTTGAATACTTGGTCCTCAGTTGGTGGAACTGTTTGGGAAGTATTAGGAGGTGTGGCCTTGTTGGAGGAGGTGTGTCACTGGGTAGGCTTGAAGTTTCAAAAGATTCAGTGCTGTTCTCTGTGTGCTTTCTGTTCTGTGGCTATGGATTAAGGTATGAGCTCTCAGTGACTGTTGTAGCCATGTACTTCTGTGCCCTTAATCTGCCATCAGATTCTCTTAGCCCTCTGTAACTGTATGCCCAGTTAAACTCTTTCTTTTATAAATTGCCTTTGATACAGGTTTTATCACATCAATAGAAAAGTAACCAAGAAAGCTAAGAAGTATAAGATGAGGCTGTCAACACTCTGTCTAGTGGAGATCAGTCTTAAAGGATGGCAATTTCTGTGTCTTCACATGGTGTAAGAACAAACAGCCTCTTTCAGGAGGGTTCCACCCGTTTGACCTAGTCACATCCTAAGAGTCCCCCTCTTTATGACATTCCATTGGTGATTACTTATCGACATATGAACTAAGGGAGGGACACAGACACTCATGTTGTAGTTTAACTGAATTCCATGTTTCCTTTTTAAAGTAATCTGAATCCTTGGGATTTTAGCAGCCATTCTTAGATTGAGCTTTTGTGGACCCTTGGATCCATAATAGTGCTGAGTATTTGCCTTTCCCATCGTTATGAATTTGTACTCATGGGATCAAAGGCCATGGCAGTAAAATTGTCCCACCACAGGATAATTGTCACATTACCAAATTCTGCTTATAGTAAGAAGTAGGTAAATGAATGTAATTTCATTTAACATTCTTGGAAGAGCAGCTAAACTTTTGACATATGCAAACTACATTTTTAAATAACTTTAATATATGGTCAGCTGAACCATTACTCTCTTGCATTTAATAGATATTATAGTTTGTCATATGTTATTTGGAAATCCTCATTGAAGTGAGTAAATAGAGTTCATTAACATGCATTAGCTCACATATTTATCCTTTTCTGAAATTTACGTTATTATTATTATTGTGTGTATCTGGACATGTGTGTACATGCATATGCCATGGTGTGTGGAGAGCTAAGAGGACAAGTTGGGAATGAGTTCTCTCCTTCCACTGGTGGACTCCAGGGAGCCGACTCAGGGCATTAGGCTTGTGTGACAAGCACTGTTACTCCTGAGCTGTCTTACTGGCTCCACTTACCACTGTCTAAAAAGAACACTTAAAATCCACTTTCAGAAATATTAAATAATATAGATCATTAGTATTAACTATAGTCACCATATTTCACAATCAATTTTTATTTTTTAGATGTCTTTTAAAGTTTATATATGTATATACACATGTTCTGTATGGGGGATATCTACACATGAGTGCCCACAGAAGCCAGAACAACACATTGGGTCCTTTGAAGCTGGAGTTACAGACTGCTATGACCTGCCTAACATGAGTACTGGAATCTGAACTTGGGACTTCTGGAAGGGCAATATGTTCTCTTAACTACTGCTAACCCTATGCTCTACCCTGCCCCCCTTTTTTGAGACAGGATCTCACTGTATAGTTTTGGTTGGCTGTCCTGACACTCACTATGTAGACCACGCTGATCTTAGGTTCATAGAGGTCCATCTGTCTCTGTCTGCAGTATCGCATCCAGGACTGTCTGAAAAAAAAAATGTATGGTTGCATTCAAGTAATTTGTTAACGAAGTTTTTAATATGGGTGTGGTTGTGCTCTTCTATGATTGTAACTTCTCTGGCTGACCATGAGAATCCACAAGTTAAAGCCTAACCTGAGCATCTTACAGACACCCTGAAGTAAAAAAGAGGTCTAGGATGACTCCATTGGTAAAATGTGTGCTGTTCAAACATTAGATATCTAAGTTCCATTGTACCAGTCATATAAAAAGCTGGACATGAAGATGTGCACTCCCAGAGGTCAAGACAGAGAGATCTTTGGGGTTCATTGGTCAGCCAATTTAGCTTAATCAATGAGCCTCAGGTCCCTATGAGACCTGGCATCCGAAAACAAGGAGGATGGCTCCTGAGGAATGATACCCAGGGGTGACCTCTGGCTTCCACATGCATGCATATGCATCTCTGCACATACCTATACAATTTTTAAAAATTATAAACAAAAAGACTGCAGTCCAGTGGTAGAACATTTGCTCAGCATGTGTAAAGCCCTGTGTCTAATACCCATCATTACAAATATGTTTTTTTTCATGCCATCAAGGAATTTTTTCATTTTGAGAGATGTTTTATTAGAACTAATGTGTCTCCATATGTCCAAATCAGGGAGAAATCTAATATTAACTCAACCCAATATATAGAAACTCAATATGCATAGGTCTCTTATCTATGTTTTATAGCAGATCCTGAGAAGAGTCTCAAAAGCCTTCTAACTCTTGGTAGCGACAGATTTAAGGTCACACTAGTCATCCTTGTAGCCCTATGATGCTGTGGCTCCAATACTGGCCATGTTTGTGGGCTTAGCATTGTTATTCCAGAGAGTGATTGTTCCTGCTCTCAATTCTGGCTTGTTAAGTAGAGCTGTCCACTGTTACCCATCTTTCCCACCTTGACCTCTCCTTGTACAGAAAATGGGTTGCTGATAGCCCAGAGACAGCCGAGGCCAATCACAATGAACCCGTCTTCTTTCCTGGCATGGGAAGGACCTGACTTTTAGGAGTGCAGAGGATTGATTTCTTTCATATTAGTCTATAGCCTTTCTGTATATCTGATATATGTACCTGTACTTAAGAATTGTTCAACTTAGGGATGGACATGTAGGCACATTACTGTAATTTCAGCAGTCAGAAAGCTGAGGCAGGAGGATTCCAAGTTCAAGACCACCCTGGGCTACATCTCAAAAACCAAACCAACAACAAAATGGGGCCGGAGAGATGCCTAGGTGTTTAAGAGCACTTGCACTTTCAGAGGATCCAGGTTTGATTCCCGTGCCAGGTGTCTTCTGACTGCCTGTAATTCCAGTTCCATGGGATGGAAGGCTTTCTTCTAGCCTCTAAGGGATTCACACACACATGACACATGTACATAGACACACATATGCATAAATAAAAATAAATCATAGAAAAATATTTTATTAAATCATGTTCCTTTGGCATAGCAAACCATTGTAATATTGACAAATGAAAGCACGTGGAAGAGACTTCTGCTGTGTGGTGAAATGAAGTACGGCTGTGAAACTGAGAGCAGAACAGGCTAGCTTTGTTCTTTTTTGAGGCAATGTTTTTACCTGAAATAATGGTTTACACACCATGGTTATTAAATTTTGGCTGGCTGGCAGACATTTTCTGGAAAATGAACGGTGATGATAACAGTGCTCACTACTAGTGACAAGATGTAACTTTCCAACAGACATTAGACTTTCAGAAAACTCACATGCCTGACTACCCAGGCTGTGCTGGCTAGACAGGCAGTGCTATTAGTGAGTGTGAGCCTTGGTATTATATGACAAGATGTCTAAGCTCTTGGAAGACTTTATATGCGTCAGACTACATGCCTCCCAGATAACCATTTCATTCTGCTTTAAAGTCATACACAGGGAAAGGATTCATTCTAAATGTTTTCTGGTGTGGCTTTAGATTTCATATCATGACTAACATATAGGAAACTTGGGGATGGAGAGAGGGCTCAGAGGTTAAGAGAGAGCACTGGCTGCAAGTATTCTCAGAGGACCTGAGTTTGATTCTCAGCATACATCTGGCAGCTTATAATTGTCTGTAATCCCAGTTCCAGGGGATCTGATGCTCTCTTTTAACCTTTGTAGGTACCAGGTAAGCACATGTTGTTATACATGTAGGCAGAACACCTATACACATAAAATGAAATAAAATAAAAATAAAAGCAAGCAAAAAAGAAACAATCATTTGTTAACTTTGAATAAAGTGTCAAATAAAAATATTCATACTGGATGGGCCCCATGTGGTAGCTCTGCAGATAAAACTGCTTGCCACATAAGCCTGACAACGTTACTTCAGTCCCTGTAAGTCACCATGGAAGATAACCATTCCTGGAAGTTGACTTCTGACCTCCATATGTGTACCTGTACTCACAAAATACAAATACACAGTTTTTAAAAAGAATATCCATAGTGATGTGAGAAGGCTGTTAAAATGCTTCTTTCCTAATATGTATACTGTATGCATTTTTCACCTTCTTCAACTACAACAAATCAAAGCAGATTACACGCAGAAACAGGCTAAAATCTAACTTTTATTTTAAGGAAGACATTAAAGAAAGCTACAAAAATATAAGACAGTACTACTTAAGTTTTTGTCTTGAAAAATTCAAATATGATAGAATATTTCAAATATGTGTGAGTGTGTGTGTGTGTGTGCGTGTGTGTAGCCAAGATCAACATATCTAAGTGATATAGATACAAGTTCTTTGGAGCTATCAACAACATTTTATGGTTTGTTTCTTACATATGGAAAAGAATATGGAATGGAGAGGTTTGGTGACACACACTTGAGTGCCAAGCCAACCTGGTCTACATGAGACCCTGTTTCAACTAGACCAAACAGAAACGTGAAATGTTGCATGATTTTGTGTGCCCTCCTTACACAGGGGCCATGCTAATATTTTCTGTATTGTTCTAGTAGTAATATGTGTTCTGATAAAGTGAGCATGATAAGTTTTAATTTTTTTTTAAGAATTACTAGGTTGTTGCAGTATTTTTAACTGGGTTCTGCGGTTCACAGGTTAAAAACTTAGTCATTATTATGTATCCCAAAATGTAAGAATTCAGTAGAAATAGGGACATTGATTATTAACCTTATGATTTTTGTTACTTTCTTTAAAGTTTAAAAGTGTATGTCTTCATTCATCAAAACGTTACATACAAATAATGAAGATGCTAGCACTGTTTTTGTCCCTAGACAACAAGTTAGTGCCTGCTCATTCTGTTTTATACTGCATAACGTGTGCAAAAGCAAACTATAGAGGGCAGTCGACTCAGCGTTAAGTCTAGATAGTCATGTTCTGCATTACAGTTACCCAAGAAAACAAGTCTAATCATTACTGGAAAGACACATCGGTAACCTTTCACAGGAGCAGGCTAATCCATGACTGTGATGGATTCTGAATGCTGTTGTCTCATGTTGAATTTTTATTTTAGTAATGTTGGCCGGGAAAAGACATTTAGTTCTTTAATGCTTTATAGATAATCTGAATTTTGAATATTATGTTGTTTTATATAATTATTATGTTGCTGGTTGTGTATTAGGATGTAGATGAATATATAGATATATATTTCCATGTATTAAAGGAAAGTGATTATTTAAATTTAGGTATGTCATATGATAATGACAGCAGAGTTTATAAAGACTAAACCCAAACTTTGAAATAAAAGCTAACCTTGCCTTGGGCTGAGTAGATAGTTTAGTTAGTAAAGTGCCTACTTACACAAGCACAGGAGCTAAGTTCAGTTCCCTAACACTCTGTGAAAGACTGACATCATAGCATAGACCTGCAACCCAGTGCTGGTGGAACAGCCAGATGGATTTGGAGCTCACTGACCAGCCAGTCTAAACAGTGATCTTCAGACTCAGTGAGAAGCCCTGTCATAAAAAGTAATTCAAAGAATGATAGAGGAGCCTCTGAACTGCACAGAACCATACACATGTTTGCATGTGTATCTGCACACATGCATACATACATACACATAACACACACACACACACACACACACACAGAGAGAGAGAGAGAGAGAGAGAGAGAGAGAGCGCGCTAACCTTCCTCTTTGGCTTTGTGACCTCATTAGAGAAGTGTCAGAGTGCCCTCATCTCTTTTTAATGTGTTAAATACATATAAAGGGCATATAGTTTATAGGTTTCGTATTCATAACTTTTAGCATAAGAACACACATGAATGCTTAGGTTGGATCGGATGTTAATTCTCAGACTGCGGCCCCATCCTCAAAAAAAAAATCCTTCTTTTGTAGGTTATCATGCCACCATTTCGTGACCCCTTGAAAAAAGCCCAATATGACAAGGATGATGAAAAGAGAACTCTTCTGCAGTGTGAGACTGGTACTTAATTCTTCCGTGGTTCCTTGCCCACAGGCAGTGGCAGGTGCACTTAAGCACTCTGATTTAGGTCACTAATTTTCTTGCAGGCAAAATCTATACAATGAAAGAATTTAAAGAGCTCGAGAAGGCCCAGTTGCATTCCAGATTTCCGAGTATTTCCAATTCAAGGCAAAGTATGACTCCAAATGAATGGCTTAAAGTGCCCATGAGTTATATAGAAAGTGAATTTTGTAAAAGGAGCAGGTAATAATTGACATAATAGAAGGTGTGGTCTTCTTAGACGTTGAAAATTCTTTCTTGGGATGATAGTGCTATATTTCAGCAATGATTTTTTTTTTTTTTACAATAAAGTCTGCTGTGATTCATTGTTCCTCTGTATGTAATAATTCTCTTGGGTACTCTCAAGACTCTCCAGCTTTTGTTTTTATCAGATAGACTCTGAAGTAGCTAAGTTTATTTTACTTTTTCCTCTTCAAGTTCTCTGACGTTTTTATTTTCGTCATTATATATAGTTCATTAATTTTTGGGGGGGAGAGCGGCTAGACAACTATCACTTCAAATATTTCTTAGGTACCGTTCTGTCTGCTTTTAGTTCCCACAAGTGGCCGTGGATAATGTCCTCAGTTCTGTAAGTCTTCTGATATTGGTTGACTTTACCTTTTCTTCTCGTGTTTTGGTTAGATGATTTCTACTGAGCTGTCTGCAGGTCCACAGAATGTCCTTGTGTGTGCTGTCTGCTGATGAACCATCAAACACACCATCTGTGACATCACCATATTTGGCATTTCCATTAGATTTTTTTTTTTAGTTTTCACCTTTTCTGAAATTCTCCATCCATTGGTGCACACTGTCTACTTTTTCAACCTGAGTTTTATTAAAAAGTAATATTAATCACAGTAACTTTAGATTTTTAATCTGATAGGTCCAATATCAGGATTATTTCTGAATTTGGTTCAGCCTGGTTCTGTTGATTGCTTTATATCTTCACTAGGCATTTTATTTTACCTATTTTGCATGTCTTATGATTTTATAATTTAAAACTTTTTTATGTATATGGGTGTTTTGCCTGCATATCTGTTTATACATCAGGTGTGTGCCTGGTGCCTAAAGATGTCAGAAGAGAGTATTGGATACCCTGGAACTGGAGTTAAATGTGAGGCACCATGTGGGTGCTGGGCATTGAACCTAGGTCCTCTGGAAGAATAGCCACTGTGTTTAACTGCTAAGCCATCTTTCCAACCCAGTGTTTTGTTTGTTTGTTTGTTTGTTTTTTGAGACAGGTTCTCATTGTTTTTTGGGCTGGCCTGGAACTCCACGTGTACATCAGATTAGCCTCAAACTCACCTCTAGAGACCGTCCTGCCTCTGTTTCCTAGTGGCTGTGTTGAAAGGCATGTATCAGCACACCTGACCTTAACTTTAGAGTTTAAAAATGGAATATTAGACATTTAGGATGGAAAAATAGTACAGATTCAGTATTTTCTTTAGAAACTGACCTGCCTCTTCTGTCACACAGTAGTATTGGGAGACTTGGTTTATTGATCAGAAGTTGATCTAAGTTTTGGTATTCTTTTAGTTATTGTCTCTAGACTCTAGAGATCTTAAGAAACAAAGATTTATTTTATTTATGTGTATGTGTATGAAAGTATGCAATGTGTGTCCTGCTCACACATCAAAGGGTGTCAGATACCCTGGAGCTGAAGTTTCAGGGAGTTATGAACTGCCTGTGTAGGTGCTGGGAATTGAACCTGGGTCCTCTGGAAGAGCAGCCAGTGCTCTTTATGGCTGATCCGTCTCTCCAGACCCCTGGACAACTTCTCTCTCTCTCTCTGATATTATCTTTAATTTCTATGTACATATGTGAGCCTGCATGTGGATATGTGACCATGAGTACAGGTTTCTGCTGAGTCTGAAAGAGGCCATCCTGGTGCTGGTGTTACCAGGTAATAGTGAGCTGTCAGAGTGGTGCTGGCAAACACACAAATCTTCTGGAAAAGAAGATTTAGCAGTCCAGCTATTTCTCCAGCCCCAAGATTTTGATTTTGTTTGTTTGTTTTTCAGTAGGGATGTTGTGTGAGGGTCTCAGGATAATGGTGGAAGAATAAAATGAAAACATTGATGTGATAAAAGAAAAGATTTATATAGTTTCGGTACTTGGAGGGCCAAAAAAGAAAGTCAGAGACAGTTGGAAGTTGGAGCATGTGTACCAAATGGAGGGCATCATGCTTCCTGGGCATTAATACTGAACCAAGCTTCCAGCCTAGTGTTCTAGGAGATATTACCATATGTGTTTATCACCTATGGCTGCCATACTCGTGGTAGTCCTCCTGTCTCTGCCTTCTAAGGGTTGGAAATACAGGCCTGCTCTGCCACACCTGGCTTTATGACTTCTTTGTACATTAGAGTGTAAGCTCCCACAGGATAGGGGAGGATTTCAACTTTGCCTGACTAATTTCGGTTCTCAGAGAACAAACAGCACATCAGTCTTCATTATGGTTTCAAAACTCTTAAACAACTAGTATCATTGAAATGGCACAGCAGTGTCAAGGAATGGTATTTTGAACCATATTTATGGCAGTTGGTTACTAACAATAATTTAATGCTTAAATGTAAACGAATATTGTTTTGCAACATCCTGACACACGTTCTCTTGTTAAAGGTTCAAAGTGAAGATGAATTTTAATGCTAGTAGTTTTGATTTGAGTCCATTGAAAAGGGTGCCTAATTTTCTGGAATACCAGGAGGAAGAAATGATGATCATTTACAAGTAAGCCTGTTATTCTATAAGTCTTCTGTCCTTTCATTTAAGATGTTTGGCTGTGTTGCCTTCCCCACCACCTTTCCAGATCACTTGCGTTAAGGCCAAGGCCTCAACATCGTTCAGGGTAAGGTAACTTTTCTTTGTTTTTATGGGTTAAAGGAATAAAGAGCACAGAAGCAGAAAGTATGAAAATGGGGCTGGCAATGGTTGACAGCTTGTACTAAGACTGTGAGAGTCTTAGCTTGAGATGAGTTCCTGTGTGTGGTTGGAGTGGAAGGTGCAGTGGGGAAGTGGCTCACAGACCTGCGGCTGACCATGGGGGACCTGTTAACTAGGGACTGACTTAAAAAATCACACAGTTCACACACACAGAGGAGCTGTGTGTGGTAGTGTACACCTGTGAGGTGGAAACTTCAGGGTTCTCTGGAAAGTCAGTTGTGTTGGATGGTGTTTTGCTGGGGCAAACTCATTTTCCTGAAGTGGACACAGGTGAAAGACTAAGGCAGACTCATGAAGGAACGTTTCGCTGAAGCAGACACAGGAGAGAGGATGTTCTGCTAAAGCAAGCATGTGAAAAGATACGTGATGAAGGATTCTTTGCTAACAACACATATCTTACATTGCGTAGTTGAGCTGCATTTGTTGGGACTCCATAGAGAGAAATGCACCAAAAAACTTCTGGTGGTGCGCTGCAGTTTCTTGTGGCTTCCGAGGACTCAGGCTGATTGGCAGAGTGATGTCAGCTGAGACAGATGCACGAGCTGAGGCAAGACCCGTGGAGGACACGTGATGTTTGGAGGGTATAAATAGGACTCGACGGACAGTGATGCGGGCTGAGCTAGGCTTTCTTATAGCGTTAGCTGTGCAACGCTTGTGGGTCTCTTCGGTGATCTTCGCTTCCCTGAGAGAGGCACAGCCAAGAACTGGCGTTCCTCCTGGTCCCTCCTGCTGACTCGTGCCAAGGCTGAGGCCTGACTGTCTCTGCTAGGTGGTGCCACCACTGCTGATTCGTGTTTGCTATCCAGACTCTACTGAACTCCTGGTGTATCCATGAAGTGTTTGCGAGTGGATCGAGCTGCTGCTGCTGCTGACCTGTGGACTGAACTGCCGATTTCCAGACAACACAGACAGGAGTTGCTCCAAAGAACCTTTCTAAACAGGTCCACTTCCGCTGTATCCTTTCTTTTCCATTACCTCTGATGGGTGGTGGGCTAAAAGGGAGGTTAAAGCGTTTAAGAGCCATCATTAAAAATAGGATTTGAAAAAAATTAAAGTTACACACCTGTGTACTACTGAAACAGGAAGATCTGGAGGATAGCCTGGGCTACATAGCAAGATCCTGTGTGAGAAAATTGTGTGGGGATAGAGATTTCTCTACGTAATTGTAGAGAAAGATAACTTCTTATAATCTGGTTATAAATAACATGATCTCTTCATTGCCACAAAGACTGTAAGATAGTGCAGAGTCTTTGGGAAACAGCTTGTCAGTTTTCTAAAATGGCAAACACAAAGTTACCATGTGGGCTACAAGTTCTGCTGATTTTACTTGGATGGTGTGTGTGTGTGTGTGTGTGTGTGTGTGTGTGTGTGTGTCAGGATTCTCACATGTAGTCCTGGTTGGCCTGGAACTCACTCATTATATTTGCCTGCCTCTGTCCCTTGAGTGCTGGGATTAAAGGCATACACCACTATGGCCAGACTACTGCTAGGTTTATATTCAGAAGAAATGAGTGTATTTATAACAGAGTTATTCACAAACACTGGAAACTGGACGTTCATCAGCTAATGAACAGATAAACTCAGTGTTGTGTACTCATGGGATGTGATTGTCTCATGTGAATGATAAGGAAAGGAAAACACTGTATGGGCAAGAGCTTACTTAGGCTGGGGTCAGCAATGGCCTACACGTAGACAGTGCAGACAACTGCACACCTCTGAGTAGCCTAAAAGACATCGCTTTAACTGCTGATCAGAATTCAAGTTAAAAACCTAGCAAGGTAGAACAGAATAGAGCTTACCTTCCTTTTTATAGGAGGCTGGCCCATAACTCTCCGTTACTTAATGTGTTGACCTTTACTGTATAGTAGTTTTATTTTACTTTCCCTGAGTAAGCCAAGAATGTGGTCAATTAGATATAGTGTGGCAGAAGCTGGTGAGATATTGGAGATGCTTGGCATTTCCACAAGTAATCTCACAGGCATTAGAGTGATTTAAAGTAAAAAGAGATTGAATTGGATTCATGTATGCTCCTGTGATCAACCACACTGGAGGCTGAGTCCTAGAGTCTGAGACCAGCCTCCTTGTCTCAGAAAAAACTAAGTAGAAACAGAGAACGTTTGGGATAGAGTTGGCTGCTGTGGACTTCTCAGTGTTCTGGCTGTGCAGCTTTATAATAGGATCTTTTGTTCATTGGATAGGGGCTGGAAAGGAGGAATAAAAAATGTTGAAACTAGGCCCTGTTTATTTGTATATCAGGGTCCAAAGAAGCCAATGGCTCCATAATCTTTAAGTGCCATGGTTTCAAAGAGAGTAAATATATTTGAGTGAGATTTTAGATAATTAGCATCTTAAAAATAATATTCCAAGCCAGTCAGGGGTGGTGCATGCCTATAATCCCAGCATTTGGGAGACAGAAGTGGGAGGATCTCTGAGTTTTGAGTTCAAGGCCAGCCTGGTCTAGAGAACAAGTTCCAAGACAGCTAGGACTACCTAGAGAAATCCTGTCTCAAAAAACAAACAAACAAAAATAATAGTCCATTTAAATTATATTTATTTTATATATTTATCTACTGAGAGGGAGGAGGAAAAGGAAGGAGAGATGCAGGGAAGGAGGGAGAGTGGGGAGAGTGAGCATGCAAGTGTGTAACACAGTATGCAGGTAGAGATCAAAGGTCAATTTGCCTAAGTTAGTTCTCTTTTTCCATGATGTGTGTCCTGCAGATCAAACTCAAGTCATCAGACTTGGCAGCAAGTGTTCTTATCTTTTGAGCCATCTTGTTTATCCAAAAACAAACATATTAACTGTAATCAATGGTACCAAAAAGGAGGGATTTGTTTTCATAAGCTTCTTAGAGTATGATCCAGATAAGAATATTGCATTTTAAAAAAAGATGTATTTATTTATTATGTGCATGGTATTCTGTCTGTATATATGCCTGCAGGCCAGATGAGGGTGCCAGACTTCCTTGTAGATGGTTACAAGCCAATATGTGGTTGCTGAGAATTGAACTCAGGACCTTTGGAAGAGCAGTCAGTGTTCTCAACCTCTGAGGCATCTCTCCAGCCCCCATAATATTGCATTTTTGAGTACTTGGGAACTTCCATTTTAGACTAGAGGCTTAAGTCGGCCAGTTCCTCCTCGAAAAGGAGTAAGACTAGCTTCTGTGCATGGAGAAGTAGCCCAATGGCAGCAGGTATGGAGAAGGCAGGGATTGTATAATTTTGGGGGGATATAAAAAAAATTGATGTCTGCCCTCAAACTGGGCTGGTGTCACCAACCCTAAAATGACTTGTTCAAGTTCATCCTAATGAATTAAATAAATTTATTAACTGTTACTTACGGAGCAGTGAGTAAGTATGGACAGAGCCGCTCTGTCCCCTCTCCTCCCAGTCCCTAACTGCACCCATTACCAGCCATGTTCTATGTAGGACTTCAAGTATTACACAGAATTCATGGAAACCTGGGTTTAGAGGGCAACCTAGTGTTAAAGCAGTACAGATAACAACAGGCTTGGACAGTATGAAGCATAGAAAAAAGATCCTGGGAGAGATACATTTATGTGTGCCCCATCTGTGTTTATTAGGGGCTCTGCTGGTCCCTGCAAACACTTGGAAAGACAAGGAAGCATGGCTTGTTTAGCTGCAGTCTGCCACAAAGAGCAGCTTGAGAGCAGCTTGCTGCAAGACAGTCACTCTGACCAGGATGTGGAGGCCAGCTTTACTACATCAGGGTCCCAGGGTCAGCAAATGCACAACTCTGAGGGGTCGTTCAGGACAAAGGACTGTCACTCAGGTGTTTGATTACACAGCACAGAAGTTTCAGACAAAATAATGCTGGAGCAAGGCAGTTCTCTTTTAGTTCTCTTTTCATAAAATGTAGATTTAAACAGACCACATAGACTTTGATATTTAAATAAAAATATTAAGATCTTCTACTGAGTTAAATGTTAAGAGAATTTCTCCTGGTTCTTCCCTGCAGAAACAATGGACTCTCCTGTCTGGACAGTGAAGCTCCATGTCTCCAGGAGAGAAAGATCCCAAGTTCCAAAGGGATCAACTCTGAAGGTCACCATTCTGTGAACCTATGCCAGGAGGTAGAAAGGGATGAGAGCTAAC